CTAAACCGTTCGATCCACGTCGAGCGTCTCGAGAGAGGTAGGCAGGGTGGTCGGCCTCCGTGACGAGGACGTCACGAGGTTGGGTGCGGGAGAATGTCACGGACCTAAGGGGGAGTCCTGAATCCCACATCGAACATAATAGGAAGGTCACTGGGGTATAAAAGGGTTCACACCATCTCCGCCTTGTGAGGCGCCTTTTGTAGGACAAAACCGTGAGGTCAGGGGGGTCAGAGCGGACAATACCTCATAAGGGTGTGAACCGTGGCAGGAAGGCTGATCTGAAACGTCGGAAGGGTGAATGCCTGGATCCCGGAGTCGCGCGGGTTCGGAGCTTGAGTTTCGACCCGTGACAGACGGCCATTTCAGGAAATAAATATAAAATAGTTAAATTATGCTATTCCATTTGACAAATAATTGACCTTGAATGAGGAACTGTTGTTCATGGAACCAAACGTGGTCTCCCGTGAGTGAGCAAGAAAGACCAGACAAAAAGTCCAACAATGGACTTCCATGCGTACATAGTTTTCGTTTGTTCTTACTACAAATCATTCTAAATAGGAAAGAAAGGAAAAAATAAAAAGGAAAGAAAAATTTAGTGTGTTGTCGCCATCCATGAACAACTTTGCGTGCCATAAATATAATATGATGAAGGTGTAAGATAAGGACAATTGTCGAGGAAAGCGACACCCGGTTTCGCCGCTGATATATTCCGATTAAGTGTGGTTACCAATTCATCAGATTTCAGGGAATATACCATGAGATTTTATCATTCAAACTGCAAAAAAAAAAAAAAAAAAAAAATCATGGTAAAATGTAACAAAATGTAATAATATCACTTGTATGTTCTTTCCAAAACACAAAGCTATTGATGACTAATGAATTAGATCGATTTAATTCATCGCTCATAAATAAAGTTGATAATCTAATCTAAATTCGTGAGTTTTGATTTGATTTAATTATATAAGATTAATTTTTTTTATAAGTTGAGATCAAATTTTAAATAAATTTATTTTGATTTTTATACATATAATATTTTTTATTTTTTATTTAATATTATATTTATATATTTATTATATTTTTAATTTTATATTTATATTTAAAATAATATTTTTATTTAAAAATAATATTTTATTTATTTTAGATCAAAATAATTATTATTTTATATATATAAATTGAATCAAATTAAATATTAAAAAATAATATTTTAATATCAAATCAAAATTTGATATTTATTTTATAAAATTGAATTAAATTTAAAATTAAAAAAATTATTACGACTTGATCCGTTTTCATCATACTCATGAATATCATAATTTTTTTTTTTTTTTTGTAAAAGACAATTTATTTAGAAGATGGGCTAATCACTAACAAATTGGTAATGGTTTGATTTTTCAACATTAGATTTAGATTATTTTTTTTTACTCCTAATTTTTTTATTCCAACTTTGGCAAATAGTATCAAAATATTGCTCAAACACTCAAGATTCATGAAATTTAAGAAAATTTTGGAACATTTGGTGTTGAAAAAATCAAGTGGCTGTTGGACACAAAAAGTGTAAATGGTCGGTGAGATGTTGAAACCAATGGCCTGCTGTAGTCCATTGCCACCAATAGAATGTACAATGTGACAATGTCAATAGAAATAATTTTATTATTATTTCTAAGTTGACTTTTGATTAAAAGTTTTGACTCTTTTAAACAAAAGTGGAAAGCTAAAAGGACAGTAATTATTAGGGCCCACCACAAACGCATCCCAAGAAACTTCGTTATCAGCTTAGCTTTGAAGGTTCCAGCTTTTGTAGGTAGCTATATCAATTTAAAACGCCAATAAAAATATAATATAAAAAATATATAATTTAAAATTATAATAATAATTATATGTAAATCTAATAAAATAAAAATTATATTTTATATTTATATGTCAATGATATATAATTTTTATATAAAATATAATATAAATATATAAATTTTTATATTTTATACAATATAAATATATAAATCATTATATTTATTTATAAAAACTCTAATCTATAACAAGAATTTAAAATTTTAATACTAATAAATTTTTTAAGTTAAAATTATAATATTTGGATAGAACCAAAATTCATAATTATGTTGGCATGAATATGGGTTAATGGATCATTCCATTGTTTCACTAATCAAAACCTAATTTTAAATTATATATATGAAGCATAAATTAATTTAGAAAAAAAAGATTACATGCATTATTTAAGGATGATAGTTCAATTCATTTTTTACGAGTTTTAATATATATAATTTTTTAAAATTTTTTTTAAAATCAAATTTTGAATCAGACAATTATAAAATAAAGTCGAAATTGAATCGGGGTTTGATTTTATATAAATCCATCTCGATTTGCTTCGAAATATATTATTTTTTAATTAATTAATTAATTTTATTTTTATATATATTTTATATATATTTAATTTTATATTTATATTATTTAATGTTATATTTTATATTTATATTAAAAGTAATATTTTATATTTTTTAAAATATTTTATTAATTTCAAATAAAATAAAATAAATTTTATATAATATTAAATCAAATTGAATTTAAATATAAAAAATAAAAAAAAATATCATCAAATCGGATAAATTTTGAATATTACATTATAAAAAATAAAAAAATCATCAAATCGGATAAAATTTAAATATTACACTTATAAAATCGAATCGATCTTAGGGTGAACAAAACCCACACCTACCCGATCGATTGCTGTCCCTAGCATTATCTCCAATTTCAAGGGTCAACGTCTTTAAGCAGGAAAAGTGGTAAGGAAAGACAGAAGCATCCAAGGGCAAAAAGATTATTATATTTTATGAATAATAAATTAACATTAGGGAGAGAGTTGGGTGTATCTGCTTTGGTTTGGTTGCAATATTCCCAAGATAAGTAGTCCTCCAAGTCCCAACAAAAGATTTTAAGAGAACCCTTTTTGTCTGTGATTAAAACATTAATGTTATGCGGTGGGCGGTGGGTGGTGGTGGTGGTGGTGGTGGTGGTGGTGGTCATGTTATCAATTTCTACTTATTGCATTGAAGAAAGCTATGGCAACAAGGATGCATACACTTTCAATTACCAACATTGCTTTCAGCAGAAGGTGGTGGACGGTGGGACATTTCTTTGTTGATTTGATTTGTTTTTCCATCATGCCACCATGTTCAACCTTTTGCTTTTACTTTTCCCATGGTTAATTTGTCAAACGAAGGCCCTTCATATACTAGAACTTTTTCTTGCTTGACGATACCAGCATTCGTTTACCTATAAAAATTAGTTGCAATCCTCAATCTTTCTTCGAAGTAAGAGCAGGGTATGATGTCACCCAAACGAATAAGGGTATTATATCCATAGAGTAGGTTGCTGTCCACTTCAAGCCATTGCTTCATTTCATTTTTCCACTTACTTTTACAATCTCCGCAAGGTACAAAGGGACTGTAATTTTCAATTACCCCATAAAAAAACTATAACTTTACCTGTGAAAACATGATTCGATAGCCAAATTAGTTTACTTTTTTCTACCATACGAGGGCAAAAAGGCATAATCTTGAAGAAACATTAAGCAAGCAATTTGAAGCTCAAAGCATCATAGCTAATCATTTCACAAATATTTGCCTCCAAACAAAATGATTTGCTGCACAGTTTCATGCAGCTTATATTTGTTACCCTTTTCTTACTCGGGGTGCAATCACAAACCCCCAAGAAAATTCAACTCGTGAGGCCACAAAAAACACACAACTTTTTCCAGGGAAAAAGGTTGCATTTGTTTAACCAAAGGGCTGTGTAATAGTAGTACAGGAGAGCATCCAATGAGACAACTAAATAAATGGAAGCGAATTTTTTTTATTATAATCATATTATTAATCAATCACAATAAAAAATTTTAATAATTGACAAAGAAAATATAAGGATCTAAATTATGAAATCCATAACAATAACTCTGTTATCAAAGCATACATGTACTCTGTATTTAAAGAGTTTAATTTTACACTCCCTAGAGTTTACACTTGTGAAGAGCATTTTGAAATTAAAATTTTTAATTTAATGCAGCGAGTTGATGTCGGTTAGATGGGAAAGGGATTAAACCTTAAGACACAATTAAAAATTAAAAAAAAAAAATCTATGCTAAGATGTCACGTCTAATCTAGGTTGAAATTTGAATTCTATCACATCGTTAATACAATTGAATTAATTATCTCATCAGTTATATTTAAATATTAATTTTAATAAAATTTATTTAATAAAAAATTTTTTCAATCATAACTAAAATAATTTTTTTTAATTACAACTTTAATAATAATAATAATAATAATTTCTTATCTTATTAGAACTAATTTCTCCTTCCATTCAAATAATTCCTAAATGGGCTTATATGACTGATATGGACTCTTGCTCTCCTAGCCCAGTACTTTAAACTTTTATGAATTGAACTAATTCAAACTGGCCTCAATCATGTCTGAAATGTACCGACAGACTGCCTTCATACTAATTGTTTTTTCACTATGCCTTCATACTTAACGTTTTCACTATGTCATTTTTAAATCAAAGAAACTTTTTTTTTTAAATTTAGTACAATTTATATTATAGTTCATAAAACTTTTTATAAACTTAAAAAAGAACAGCATAGCTAAAGAAATTGAAAAGCTATAAAAAATTAATACTATAAAAACTAAAAAGTATTAATGTTTAAAAATAAAAAGAGACAATTTTGAAAATCTTAAAAATAAAAATGATATAAAGTATAAAAAAGTTATGCCTGTACTAACCCCCATTTATTCAATAATTTGTAATTGTCTTTTATATTTAAAAATTTTTCCCACAGGATACTTCAACATTTTAACTTCAAACTTAAAATTTTTGAAGGTTTAAAAAAAAAAAAGATTAGCAAGTTCTAGAAAATTTATCAAACGAAAAAATTTACGTATTTTCAAAAGTTTTTGCTACGGAATATTTTCCAAGTCAAATTTTTGCTATGGAAATTTAGAAACGAGAAAACTTTTAACACTCCATTTATCCGTGCTACTAGAAAGAAATGCATACCAAAAGAAGCATTACAGGGCGATCAAATTGATGTCCATCATACCAGCACAAATAAAGACCTACAAACTGGGGCGAACGTAGTAATGCCAGCCAATCGACAAGGAATTTAGACTTCCCTTACACTGCAATGATGTCCTCCCTATCATGGACTCGAACACGTATATAAATCAAGGGGACACCTAATGAGACAAGCAGCCACCTTACGTAAACCTTCACTATCATCAGCTGAATACACGGATAGAAGGAGACGCATCATATTTCACTACACAAATCTTCACTTTCATCCTCAACTCTTAGATTTTATCGAGCTTCTCAGCCCTGACGACAGGGTTGGCTTTAGCAATAGCATTACGAGCAGCAGTCCGATAATCAAAAGGACAATTGTGCTTGTCAGAGTAACGATGACCTGCACAGAAGAGGTTTCCACACCTGCAATTGAATCCTGTCAAACCAACACGCTTACCGCATTTGGTACACCTATTTGGACCCTCTTTCGTCTTCATCCCACCAAAAGCCATTTTGGATGGATCAATGGATGGTTCTGCTAACATGATCTTTGACTCAACATTTCCAGATTGTACATCCAAAGCAGCAACCAGAGCTGGTTCCTTACCATTCCCACTTGAGCTGCCATTTACAATGCTTCCAATGGATGATGCTGCGAGTTGTGCCTGTTCCTGCTTCAGGATCATTGCCTTGTGACACTTCGAACACATATACATGGTAGCTGCACTTCCAAAGAAGCCACAGTTGTTGACACACAGGATGGGGCCTTCTGGAGCTTGGCACCCTGTCTCATCATGAGACTCCATCTTCCCTAATCTCCTGCAAGGAAGCCACCTTACTATAAATAACCCCAGATAAAGGAGGAACCCAAAAATTAAGCAGAGAAAAAGAAAGAGAGGAAGGACCACAACTGATTCAGCTCCTCAAGACAGATATCAATAAATGTCAGATGGAAACAAACATGCCAATTTATAGACCTAGAGGACATGCACACATGCTAAGCATGTAAACAATCAATTTGCTCAAAAAGAACTAGTACCTAGGACTGATTATCTCCATCATGATCCATGAATCAACATTACATCAGACACCATGGCATAAATATCATTGCTAATTGTAGGGGTCTTAGGTGATGAAGATAACTAGTTCACCTACAACGGAGCCCTTAAGGAGACAATTTTGATTCAGCAGACAATAATACCAATCAAGGGCAAAGAAGATGAAAAGAACATGGAGAGCAAAGGATGTGTGCAGTTCAATATTCCAAGAAGCTAAGGGGCGGGAATGTGAGAGAACATCATGAGGCTGCCAATACCAATAACACATACATGCGTCTTATATGCAGCATCCTTATATCAGTCAAGCAGGATAACATGCCAGTATTGCAGGGAACACATGCTTCCCCATTGACCATAAGCACCAAAATAAAGCCCCAAACCCACATCCTCAGTGGATTGGGTTTGGGTGTGGGTTGGCTCTCAATCCCACCCAATCATAGAACAAAACATCTTTGCCGTCGTTTTAAAGCAATAATTGCCCAATTACAATAGAAAAATTAGTTCACTTCATGCAGAATTAAGCTAGGGCTCTTCCCCTATATATTCCCTAGTAAACATTTCTCATAAAATTCATCATTTTTAATGAATTTTAGCCTCAGAAGTAAGCATATAATCAACCCGCGATGCACTCTAAAATGATCATACTTGACACTAAAAATTCTTAACAAGCCAACAGCAACAGCATACAATTACAGTATCATATTTTCTCTTCAAAAATCAAAAAAGAAGAAAAAAAGGTTCAAAATATTTAGCAAAAACCCTAAACACCCAATTGACCCAAAACTTTCCTAGCACAAATTAATTACAATCAGACCAAAAGCAACTCAAATTATCAAAATAAAAAACTAATTGAAGATTTAAATTTAAAAAAGAGGGAGCAAAAACAATTGGGAGAAAACCCTTACCCAAGAAAACCCCTTACCTTAAATTATCTTGTCTGACCAGATCGAACCAGGCGGTTCCTGTCTCATGCAAATTAAACACACCCACAAAATTCAATTTTTAAAAATAAAAATTAAAAAAAAAACTAATCCTTTAATCATATCTAATTTCAACCAAACGAAAAAATAAAGAGAAAATTAAGAAACCGGTAAAATCATATCATCAAAAGAGACAAAAAGCGTAACAAAAGATTAAAAAAAAAAAAAAAACAGAAAAGAACCCTTACCTTAATCGAAAAGATTTACGTATGATAATAATTGAAGAAATCTAGACGAGAAAGATAGAATTTTGGTTCGTATGAATTTTTTTTCGGATTTAACTTTTTTTCTCTTTCTTTTCATTTATTTAAAAGACTACCACTTTTTTGCTGCCAACGAACGCTTTCCACTGAGTCGGTGATTCTTGATTCACTGCCCTTGGAAAAGCTTCTAATTACTGCTCTGCCATTCATTGTATATTACGTGGCTATTATTTATTGGTTTAGGAAGAAAGAGAGTCTTAAGGAAAACTTGTTTATTAAGTTTTAAGAAATAATTAGTAATTTTAATTTATAAAACTTTTATTTTTGCTACATATAGCGGATTTAATAATATTTGTTAGAAATTTTACGAGAATTTTTTTTTAATAAACATATTAAAAATATATGTCAACATTTTTATTTTTAATTATTTCATTTCTATTCACGGTCAGAAATCACAACAAATTTTTTTTATTTAATATATTCATATTAAATATAAACAACAAGTAGTTAATTATAATTAAAAATGCAATAATCAATTTAAAATATAACGTTTTGATCAATTCTTAATTAATAATATAATATTTAATTTGATTCAAATAAAAATAAATATTTTCAAATTACAAAAATAAGAATCTTTTGGTGAAAGAAAATAATATGCACATTAAATAACGTGATTTCATAAGCTGCCGATATATATTTTTTTGTGCATATAACATGTCAGACTGTCATTTTATTTATATATATAACATATTATATAATTAAATTATATTATATAATTCAATTATAATCCGTATGATACATTAAATAATTTTATTTATTTAATATAAAATATATATAAATATACAAATTAATTTCTTTTCAAATTATATTCAAAGTTTTAAACTCATAATATATATAAAATTTATATATATTGATTTATAATTAAAAAATAAATTTTTTGAAAACAACAAAAAAATTGTCTTTTTTTATATTTTTGTTTATAATAATATTTATACACCTATAAGATTATATCAAATAAAAATAAATTATGTTTTTTTAAATAAAAATATATTATTAAATGATAAATTAAATAATAAAAAAATATTAACATACTTTCACTTTAGTAATATTGACTAAATTATTATACAAAATCTAAAAAACATTTAAAAATATGTGAAAAAAATAAATTGAAAAAAAATATTTTTCAAAAGAATGAAACTGTAATAACAATAAAATGTATCTTGAAAAAAAGTTATAAGCAAAAATAAAAAATAAATAAATTGCAATAGTAATAAAATATACTTTGAAAAAAAAGTTAATGAAAAAATAAAAAAATTTGATGTATAACACATTACATTTGTAATTTAAAATTGTAGAATAATTCTTTAGTGGTAATTAAAATTAAATAGATAATTTTTAAATTAATTTTTTAAATTAAAAATAGATAAAATAAGTGATAAAGATAATATTAAATTTTTTACATTTATTTGAATTGTAAATTTGATAATTATAATTCAAATGGATATAATGGTTTTGATGATCTTATTATTTAAAAATTTAAAATGAAAATTTTTTGAATTTTCAAAATCTTACATAAAATTATTTGAATTTTTAATGTCTTATGTAAATTTTTTAAAAAGATAATTTTTTAAATCAAAGTAAAAAAGATTGTTAAAAATTTGAATAAACTTAATCTTTATAATTTTTAAACATGTTTGAAAGATTTTGATAATTAAATAATTTTTTTAAATAAGATTATTTTATAAACAACTAAAATTATTTATTAAAAAATAAAAATACATATTTCGTATTTTTTATTTTAAAAAATATATCTCTAATTTGATTTGATTTTCAATTATGATTTGAATAATTTTTATATTTGAATAAATTTAAATTTATCTAATTTGTAATTAAAAAATTATCTTATTTTTTTAAAAAATAATGTTATTTGTCATTTAAGAAAGTTGTCCACATAAACATGTATATGGTAAATTTGTATATATATTTTGTTATATAATATATATTAGATTATTTATTAAATTTTAAATGTTTAAAAAATTTTGATCTTTAAAATTAATAAATTAAACTCGAATATAAAAAACAATTAAGCAAATTAAATCAAATTTGAAAAAAAAATTGTAATTTCGTGTGTTCAAAATTAAAAATTCAAATAAACTAAAAAGCTAAACCTAAATAATCTAAAAATAGAGAAAACCCATCAACAGAATTGAAAAAGAAATAAAAAACCCCAAACAAAAGTCGCAAAAAAAATACATCAAAAATCATTGTCGGCAAGTTAAAAATATTAAAAGAAGAGAAAAAAAAATATTTTATTCTTAGTCTTTTTTTTTTCTTAGCTTGAAAAGTGTTTATATAATGTTTAAAAAAATCAAATTAAATCCAATTCAAACCAAATATCATTATTAATAAAATATCATTTTAATCGTTCATCTTAAAAAACAATCAAATCGATAATTAAATTAAAATAGTTTATAAATCGAGTGAATTCAATTTGAACTTAGTCACCAATCACCTGATAAGCTAAGTTTTATAATATTTTGTTATAAAATATTAAATTTTATTTACATTAATATATGAAGTAAAAGTTAAAAATAAATAAAAAGTATCATCTTTAGTCTTTCCAAGCTTAATTTAAAACATTAATCTTTATGGGAGTCGAAATAGATTTGCGGGCTTCAGTGAGCCCCCTGTCTAGATTAGATGAAAAACCCCGACTTACAATAAAAAATAATCACATATGTGGGGTCATATTTGAAAGTTCCTTTTCTGTTTATCTCACCAATGGTCGATAATAATTTAGATTAAATTCGATTTGATTTTGTATAATATTATAAATTTTTAAAATTTAATTTAAATTTATCTTATATAAATTTAAAATTTATTAATTTGATTTATTAATTTTTAAATATTATTAATTTTATTTTTATATATTATTTTAAGATAAAATTTTGATATATTTAAATAAATTTAGATATAAAATAATTATTTTATTTAAAAAAATAAAAAATATATATAAATTAATAAAAATATATAATTCGATTTAATTTAATTTTTTACAGTTCAATCCAAATTAAATTAAATTTGTCATGTAGAAAAAGAGTTTTATGAAAAGAAAATATTTATAATTTATAGAATAAACCAATCAAAAAGAAAATAATTATTGAATAAATTATGAAAAATAATCAAAATTGAAATGACAAATTTTAAAAATGTTGAATGCTATATAAATAATTTGATAAATCTTCCAAAATAACTTTCTCTTTTTCTTTTTCTTCATTTTATTCCCTTCCTTTATTTATATTTTTTTTACCAAACACAGTGTTAGTGCTTCGAAGCTTTTATCGTAGATCGGTTCACAGCGGATCCTCAACCGGTGGGAAAATGGGCAAAGCAAAGACAGAAATGGCGGGAAGGAAAACCCTAATCTATAATTAAAGAAACCGAAATTTCCCCTCTCAAAATTCCTTCTGTACTCTGCCAATAGAAATAAATTGAAAATCTAATTTATTGAATTGAAAAAAAAAAAAAAACTCAGAAAACTTGTTAGTTTGATTAATTTGGGTCAAGATGGGTAAGAGAAAGAAATTTAGGGTTTCACGTGATGAAGAAGAGGAAGAAGAAGTGGTGCAAGAAGAAGGGGAAAATCACTCTTCTTCATATGAAAGGAGCTTATATGAGGTATTTATATTTTTTTTGTTTGATATTTGTTTTTTTATTTATTTTGATTTGGAAATTAGGGTTTATGGGTTGTTTTTACCTGTGATTGTGAAGAATTTAAATTTTTTCTTTTATAGAAAAACAAATTTTAAATTAACACTGGTTTGGGTTCATATTGGAAGTTAGAAAACACAGAGATGAAATGAAATGGTTAAATATATATAATGGATTTAAATTGAAATTTCACTTTTGCTTTGTGGGTTCAATGTGACAACTTCTCTAAATATTTTCATTGTTACATTCGAAGAGAATGTTAAGGTTCTTGGGTTTTTTTTATCCATTGACATTTCCATTGGAAATTTAAGCAACGGATGCCCAATAACGACTGATTGCCTGTAGGTTCTTGGTGTTGAAAAGACGGCATCTCAGCAAGAGATTAAGAAAGCATATTATAAGTTGGCCCTCAGATTTCATCCTGATAAAAATCCTGGTGATGTGGTAAAAGCTGAAGTTAATTTGTCTGTCGACTTTATTTTCAATTTCTGTTTGTGTGTGGGATTATTCGTGGAAGAATATGAGGGTAAATTTTGGTTCCTTTCATCTATTTGTGACACATCATATTACTTATACAGGAAGCTAAAGAGAAATTTCAGCAATTGCAAAAGGTGATATCCATTCTTGGTGATGAGGAGAAAAGGGCAATCTATGACCAAACTGGTTGTGTTGATGATGCTGTGAGTAAATATAGTTCAGGGCTATGCAAAGCCCCTTGGATATGGAAATATTCTGTTTCTTTTCACCTTTTGATGTGAAAAATGCATCTCTTAGATTTCTTGTTGTTATACAAGCAATTCAATTGAATTGGTCCATTTGTCAAAATTTTCCCTTACGACTTGACATTATCTTACTTGTTTCTCTTTATTTTGTTGATTAGGACCTGGCTGGGGATGTTGTTGCGAATTTGAAAAACTTTTTCAGGGCTATGTACAAAAAGGTTATGACATTTGTTGACTCCTATTCCCTTGATGTCATTGGAACTTTGGCTTTACATTCCATTTCATTCACAATGGTTGAACCAATTTCAGGTCACTGAGGCTGACATTGAAGAGTTTGAAGCAAACTATAGGGGATCTGATTCAGAGAAGAAAGATTTGATTGATCTTTATAAGGATTTCAAGGGCAATATGAATAAGTAAGAGAGGTGATATGTTTTTCTTTCCTTTGGGCTTTCAGTTTAGTTCTGATTTTTTGCCCCCACGACAGGCTCTTCTGTTCAATGCTTTGTTCAGATCCTAAGCTTGATTCACACCGTTTCAAGGATATGCTTGATGAGGCAATAGCTGCTGGTGAGGTTTTCTTCCAGCTTTTATTTACACAAGCCAGCTTAGAAAATTTCTGTTCTAGAAGTACAATTAAAGTCTTGCATCCAGTTCTTACCTGGTTTTCAATTTAAAATTGGATGACCGAAAGCCAATTTGATAAATTCTGGATCCTTTATGGTGAGACCTTAATGCCGATTCCTTTCTGTGTTTATAATGGCGCTGCCAAGCAATTCTTTTTTTCCTTTTTCTAGAAATGATAAGTAAAACATGGATTCCAATTCATAGCCACATTGATTATCCCACTAGTTTTTTATATTGTTAAAATCAGGATTATGGATAATTCCGAAGTCTATTAAATTCTTACATCAACTGGAATCCACTTTATAGGTATTTTGCAGTTTGAAAATTGATGAGCTAATTGATTATTCCACTGTAGTGTCTCAAATTACCAAAACTATGATGCGCATAATTCTTAGGCCTATTAAATTCTTACAGCTTTTTCTTGGTGTATGATTTTTCCATGATATGAGCTCTTTCTTTTTTATTTGTTTCTTTTCCATGTAGGAGAATTGAAAGGAACCAAAGTCTACCGGAAATGGGCAAAGAAAGTATCTCAAATGAAGCCACCTACCAGTCCCTTGAGGAGGAAAGGGAAGTGAGTCTTGTACTGGTTCTTTTTTATACATTTTAAAGATATTTACCTCAGCTTATTATAATGTAAAATTATTTGCCCTTTTTTTGGTCGTATAGCAGATCAATTAAACAGTCAGAATCAGATCTATTCGCAAGTATATCTCAGCGCCGAAGTGAGAGGAAAGACCGGTTTGACTCCATGTTTTCATCACTGGTGTCCAAATATGGGGGTAACGCAGATGCTGAACCCACTGAAGAAGAATTTGAAGCTGCACGGAGGAAAGTTGAAAGCCGAAAGGCTTCCAACAAATCAAAGCGGAAGTGACATTAGGTCTTATTCTAGGATTGTTCCTGTAAAAAGTTGGATTTAGTGAGAATTATGCTATATGCAACTTTGTCTTAATTGCTTTATCTGCTCCAAGAAACATGCAATGTTGCTTTTGTCTCGAGTTATCTACTTTTTGATGAAAGATTTTGGAGGCAGTTCTATTTTGCCTACTCTGACTACAAAACACAACCAGTTGTTAAGTAAACTATCCGGTATCCAGTTGGTGAATTATGATAAAGCCTACTCCCCACCAGCATTATCATGTGCTACAACAGGCAATGGCTGGTTGGGTGACGATGATTAATAAGTGCTATTTGACAAAAGCATGTGGTTAGGAAATGTCTTGCTTAGCAAGATGGAAGCAGCTTGAGCTTATCAAAAGGAAAGGATATAAATTATATCATTTTGACTTAAGCTTGGGATCTTTCCTGTCTGTTAATCTTAATGGAACAAACTGTTAAAGAGTGCTATTTCAAAGTAATTGAAAGATATACTACAAGGCATGTAGAAGGAGCAACTGGCAGATTCTTCAACGGCCAAACATTGGCACCATGAATTTGAAACGTTTAATTGCCAAAAGCCGAAAGATCTGCATGTTGCCCCAAGTTCAAAACGTGTGGAACAAGGCTTCAAAAATTGCTGCAAGTTGTCCACTCGAAAGAGCAAGGAATGACTTGTGAAATGTTAATCCATAGCAACACAAAGTTTAAAGTGTGATAGCTAGGTGCTGGGGAAATTGCTTTAGCTTAGAATGGCAAAAATGCTTCATTGAAAGTAGTAGAGAGATGGGCCATTTGGTCTACTTTTCAAAAATTTTATAGGTTCTAGAGTGGATTAAGCTATCCCTTTGGAGTCTTTTTAATGCAGATTTTAGGGTCAAATTTTGCATTTGGTGTTCAATTGGTATCTCAGGACAGAACAATGTTTAATCTTACCTTGTCATTGTTAATGAGCATAACACATGTTTCCTCCCTGACATAATGTTTGGATGTATCATATATGTCAAGCTCATGTGTTTAATGATTTATTATTCTATTTGAACTTTGAAGCATGAGTATATTTATTATTTGAACTTTTTTCCTCTAAACGGAAAAAAAAAAAAAAAGAAAAGAGAGAGAGAGAGAGAGAGAGAGAGGAAGAACATTCTTTAACTGGATCTAGATTATGTGGGAAAAAAAAATTGGCATAATGAGGCATAGTCCTAATCTATAAGTAACATCTTACTCATTATTTTGACGGAAAAAACTAAATTAAAATGAGACATTTCGCATTTATGTTACGTGAATTTGTATTGTCAATTAAATTCAGCAACAAAAAATATGCTGTATAAGCCCCAAACAAAGAGAAACTCTTACTGGATTGATTGGCGATTCTATTTCCATCCCATCAAAAGACTCAAAAACAAAATGAATGATTATACCCAATTAATGATTCATATTTTCATATGTTAAAGGTGTACATTATGAAATTCTTTTTTAAGTCTTTTTTGGGGAGTTTCAATGGTCTCAAAGGTTTGATCTTTTTCAACAATTTTACTCTGTAATTAACTTCTCTCTCTCTTCATTTTTTTTTGCCTTTTCTGCAACTCCTCTTTCTGTTCCTTCTTTACTTTTGCACCAAATTTGGGATTTCTTTGCTCATTAACTTGTTTTAGCTGAGATTTCTGAAATGGGTGTTTTTGTTGATGAATAAAAGATTGAATCTTTATCTTTGGTCTTTTGAAGGTCTCCATGGAGAGTGATAACGGTGATGGCAAGTCCAAGATGGAAGACTATGAAGTTATAGAACAGATTGGAAGAGAAGCTTTTGGAGCTTCTTTTCTTATTCTCCATAAACTTGAGAAAAAGAAGTAAGTATTTTCTCCTTTTTTTTTTTTTTTCTCAATTAACTTAAAGTTTGATCTTAGAGAAACATACAATAGAAAACTTCAAGGAAATGAATGATATAAAGTTTCATTTTCCCCCCAAAGAAATGATAGTTTAAATTTCCATGGGTTTGCTGATGTTTAGATTGTTCTTTGTTTTGTTATCTTAGTAATGAATTTCTGAAATGCAAAAAAAATCAGGATTTCTATGACTGGTTAAGCAACAAAGACTACATTCTGAATAAGTGGCCTTAATTTCATCATTGTAGTTGGGTTCCTCGTCTTTTAGCAATTGCTGACTTGAGCTATCAGTTAGTATGATATCTTTTATTTTTCATATTCTATCAGGTATGTGTTGAAGAAGATTCGCCTAGCCAAGCAAACAGTGAAGTTTAAGCATACGGTGCATCAAGAGGTCACGTTCTTAAAAAAAAACTCCTCATGCTTGTTTTGATTCATTAACATGGAGTTGTGGTGAAAGTTGCATAGATTATTCCATGGTTCGAATGTAATTCTCAAATAACCAGTAATCTCCTATATAGCAATCTAATATATATCTTCTAAAGTTGGGAATAGCCTTGTCACTTGAACATTTTGGGTTCAAAGATTCCTAGTTGATTGAGGAAGGATTTATTATAAAGTTAGGGACAAAAATGCCTTCACTTAATATGGAAGACCCTCAAAATTACTAGTACAATTGATGCCAAATAAGATACCAAAGATGTCTATATAGCTCATTCTTTGACATCTAGTAATTTTTCTCATATATCAAACCAAGAACACCTTAATTCATCTCTAAGTCCGTGTTTGCTAATGTGTCTCTCAATATGTGCTTTTGTTACATTGCAGCTGGAATTGATTGCAAAATTGAATAATCCATATGTTGTCGAGCACAAAGATGCTTGGGTTGACCAGATGGAAGGATTATATCACTATTTTAGATTTAGATTGGATATGACAGAGTTGCTGCACAATATTATAATTTATACCATGACTGACTCTTCAGTAATTTATTCATTTGTCTTTATGCTTCTTAGGGAAACAGCATATGCATTGTAACTGGCTATTGTGAAGGAGGAGACATGTAAGTTACCACCATAAAAGAATTGTCTTTTTTTGGTTTTTAGGATCAGATTTTGATGGAATATTCAAGTGCTTTACTGGTCCTAAGCACAATCTTGGGAATTTTTATGCTCATATGACTGTATTTGCATAAATTTCGATCTTTTTATGTGCGTGGAAAAACTTCCTTATGTTATGAGAAGTGACATTATTTCTCGTCGCTAAAGTTAATGAGTAAGATTTTATGATCAACTGGAGATGTAAGTAACATAATTTATCTTGTCAGTTGGGTTAAGAAGTGATTAAAAACTGCATATGCTTATCTTCAACCTTTTTTAATCTTTCAACTGAAACAGCCAATGATGAAAAGAATAAATTTCTCACCACTAAAGTTAATGAGTGGGATTTTTGTATCAGCTGTATTCTATGCATTATTTGTCATCACCTTTAATTGGATTGTAATGTACCTAAATAGCGATTGGAATTCCATCAATAAAAAAAAGCAAATTCTATCTGATGCTTATGAATGACTAATCAGGGGACTTAAAATTTTTGTTGGAATCAGGGCTGAGCTTATTAAGAAGGCCAGAGGTGTGCACTTTCCTGAGGAGGTAATACAATATTACTGCAATTGAACTACTCATATGCACCTGTCAAAGATGGTATTCACCCTCTTATTGTTCTGTTTGGTTCCCTAGAAAATCTGTAAATGGATGATTCAATTGTTGTTGGCTGTGGACTATCTGCACTCAAACTGTGTTCTTCATAGGGATCTGAAGGTACTGCTTCTATCTTCATCCCTATAGTGATAGAAAAGCTCATAAATACTGATGCTACACTCTAACTTCTATTTAATCTCAGTGTTCCAACATATATCTTATGAAGGACAATGAAATCTGGCTTGGTATGAAGGCAAAAGAATTACTGTAAAAGTAGGACTCCTGTTCTTTGTTAGGTTTGGCCTCCCTTTTTGATGTCTTCTAAGATAGTATGTCTTATGTGGACTTAACAGGTGACTTTGGACTTGCAAAATTACTTAACACAGAAGACCTTGCTTCCCCGGTATGGACTTGTGCTAACCTTTTACTCCTCAAACTGAGGCTGTCCTAGAACTCCTTCGATGTAACAAGCTTTTGGTTATAGAATTTGTCAAAACCAGGTTTTAGGGATTCACTCCAATTCTTTTCTATGATCTGCATATTCTTAATAGGTTGTTGGCACACCCAAATATATGTGTCCTGAGCTCCTGGCGGATATAACTTATGGCTATAAATCTGATATATGGTCACTTGGTAAGAAGTTCAAAGCATGCTTCTGAGATACAAAATCTGTTATACTTTTAACAAGCAATGACATAAATTTATTATTCCAGGTTGCTGTATGTTTGAGATTGCTGCACATCAACCAGCATTTAGAGCTCCTGTGAGTTTTTAAGATGAGCCATATGACATTGCCTCAGTATTGTTTTAAACTACCATTAAGTTGTCTATAATTTGATTTGCTATAGACTCTATAGTAAACTAAAGTCATTGACAACTCAACCGGATATGGCTGGACTCATTAACAAAATCAACAGATCCTCCATTTCTCCTCTCCCAATTTTGTATTCCTTCAATCTGTAAGCATCTTCTTCCAACTGATTATAAATATTAGCTGTTTCTTGATGATTAGTCTAATCCATATTATCATTCTTGGACATATTTACATAACATCATTAATCAATGTTATTTCATTTCCTTTTAAAAAGTCTAATTCACGTAGAAAATGAAATGACTACATGTTTTAGGAAACAAATAATCAAAGAGTATGCTAAGGAAGAACGCAGAACACAGACCAACTGTGAGTGCAAGGGACCCTGTGTTTAGTTTTCTAGTTTTAAACACTCAATCCATACTGATCCCAGAGCATTCTAATATTTTAGGCTGCTGAACTCTTAAGGTACCCCATTTGCAGCCTCATCTCCTTCGCTGCAGAAACCCATCTTCTGTTTATCTTCCGATGAAGCCCAGAAACAGCCCAAAGGAGAAGTCACCTAGAAAATCATTGTCCAGCAAACCTGGGATTGAAAAGGGCAGGGGGGTTCAAGATACTGGAGTATCAAATGGACAAGAAAATATACATGCATTTCGGACAATGGCTGATATACACCTAAGCAGTTCTCCTAGTTGTGAGAAGCCAACATCCACAGCCAGTACAGAAGACAACCTTGTCACTAAGAGGGTTGATCCTACTAGCTGCGTTGTCAAAATATCTAATTTATCAGTGATTCCAAGACAAGTCCACTGATTCTGAAGTGAGTGTTAGCAATGGAGACAAACAGGCTCAGTTTAAGAGCATTCCTCAAAGGATGCTGAAGTGGAGTCAACTTCAGAGATAGCATTCAATTCTCAGCGTGATGAACGAGAACCCACTTCTGCACAACAAGAAGAACCCATTTCTGACACACTCAAAGCTTGCCAGAAGCTGATATAAAGTCTATAAGTAAAAAAGATGAGACTTTTTGTGACATGCAGGTTCTTGAAGCAGCAAAAGAGTTTCTTGACGTGCAGGTTCTTGGTAGATCAGGGATTCCCAATTAGAATGACAATCTCGAGTATAAGATGTGATGATAAAGATGGGTACCCTGACGATGGAGTTCATCATCTACTGTTTATGAGACTGATGTAGATCGAAGATGCTCTTCAAATAAAACAAGTAGTCCTAATGCAAAAACAGAAGGTGGTGACACGAGCTACTTGTCATTAGAAAGTAGCTGTACTTCCATGTAAAAATGATGCAGAAGCAACATCAGAATATGATTCTAGCTCCTTTCTAACAGAGAAAGATGGTGCCCGACCAATTCACTTGACATCAAATGATGTGTCGTTACTGAGTAGACTTACAGCCTTGCGTGCTGATGAAATTAAGAGTGTGTGGGAGAATCCAAGTCAGCAAAGAGCTGATGCTCTGGAGTCTCTGCTTGAGCTATGTGCTAGGCTTCTTAAGCAAGACAAAATCGATGAGCTTGCTGGTGCTACGACCTTTTGTGGAAGACGCTGTCTCATCTAGAGAAACAGCAATTTGGTTAACAAAGAGCCTCATGTCCCCCCAAAAGTTCGTGGGAAGAACCTGATTTTCATTATGCGCCTGGCATTAATTTATTCATTATTGTTAGAAAATCTTTTTTTTTTTTTTTGTTAATCTGTTGACATAAAGTGTTTATTCCGAGTGGTTTGCTTGAAGAGAAGAAACTCTAGAAACAAACATAATTTGCAGATTTTTGACTCACGGTTGGTTTTGATGGAAATAATGAAGATATTCTTAACACCCTTTTTAGTGTTACCAGATCAAACACGTGCATTTGATTAGAAGGCTGCTATAATGAACTCAATACATCCAAATCCAAAAATAATAATTATTAAAATTCAATTTAGAAACTATAATGAACTCAGAAGTACCAATTATCTCAAACCATTCCAATATGCAGTGACAAGTTCATTGTTTTGAATTTCTTTCCATCTCATAAAAATGGCTTCAGGTTTTAATATGATTAAAGCAACTGGTCAAATTCCAGACTAGTCCAGGGAAACTATGAATGACATGATTTTCTTTTACGTCCAACCTACATGGAATTCGCTCAAGTTTCAGAAATATACTACATACAAGTAACTTTTTATTGCAAATTATTAAGAAACTCAAATTGTCATAAACAAATGAAGTGAAGAAAATAATCTTCAATTAGTTGAACCCAAGTAATCAAATTTGAGCCTACTAATTAGTTTACATTAATAATTCTTCATTTTCTTCTTCAATACATATTTTTTTCATAAATTTATTGGCTTACTGCAGGTAGTAAGCAAAGAAAGAAACGAGGGAGGCCCCAACCAAGGAGCCAAGAACAGGCAAAGTTGAGGATACAGCGCTGGAGGCTGTGGATGGGCCTGGAGCAGCGGCTGGGGCGTCAGTGGAGGCCATGACTGCGCTCATGGAGGCGGCAGCGACAATGACGGCGCAAGAGATCTTCTGCATGTCCATGATGGAGAAGAATAAGCGCACAGAGAGACCTGCCTTTATTTGGTGATGAAAATTTTTATTTTGTGCTTTTGTTGGTGTTTTTACTTTATTCTTTTTTGCAGGTCAAAGGGAGAATGAGGTGCTAAGGGGATTTTAAAGGTAAAATCCATGACTATTTTTAGGAAGAAACGGATTTTTTCAGCTCAAAGACGGTTTTACATGCTTGGTTTTGCAAGGTTTGAGGACTGAGATTGGCCCCAAATTTTGGGATAGTTTGCAAAGATGAATTTGTGGTGCAAACCTTTGTCAAAACCTACTTAACAACTTGCCCCTTAAATTTTGCATTTCTCATTAAAATGGAAAGACAATATTATTTTATAAAGTCCAAGTGGATCTCTCTGAAGAGGAGCTATGAAATTATACTAATATATAAATTTACAAATTATTACACTTTCATATAATTTTTTGTACAATTAATATTTCAACAAATCATTTTTGAATTTAATAATTTACTCGTATTTATCATAGACGCGTAAAATTTTAAGTCAATTTGATAATATTCATATTATATTGATAAAAAATACTATATCTTTTCTAATATATATTTAAGCCTTAATTAATATATCGATTTAAAAATTAAATTTTTTTAAATTATTTATTGACATTCTCTAATAAAAAAATTAATTTATCCTTTGGTTCAAAAATACCTTAACAGGTGGATAGGGTTATTCTTTTTTAGATTTGACAGAAAAATGAACAGTCCAGACAAACACAAGGTCCACAAAACAGATCGATGGAGCTCAACGTCTAGTTTTCCCCAGCAATATTTTTCCAGCCAGGCTCTTCAACAATGGCAGCTTACCTTCTTTTTTGGGTACGCACCCAATTCCATAATGAACACAATTAAAGCAAAGACCTCTCACCTTTATTACTTTCCATTAATATATTAACAATGGCTGCCTGTGGTTATAATAATCAATCAATCACTCAAAGACACCATTGCAATGAAAAGGACACACCATTTTCCTCAAGTTGAAGAGATTGATAAATGAAACTCAGAGAAAGTCAACTTTTCTAAATACTTTAATTGGAATCTTATATTTATTATTCAAATTAAATAATAAATTTATATTTGATATATTATTGATGTATAGATTTTATAAATTATCAGTAAATTAAATTATGCTATATTATTAATATACAAAAATTAATATTTTTTAAAAATTTATTCATTATTAAAATGATATTATTTGATTTACTTCATTAATAAGATATTATCATTTTATTTACTGATAATATATAAAATTTATATATTGATAATAAATTAAATATAAAATTTTAAACAATTATATAACAAATTCAATGATTTTATACATTATTCGTAAATATTGTATTAAAATCAGTGGATTATCCTAAGTTGTGTTAGATTCCATAATTTCACACAATTAGTAGTTTGGATATAACATTTCCATGTAGGATGAATAGAAATTCTTTTAATAACTTGTGGTTTTGTTTATGGATTTGATGTTTAATTTCCCACCAATAATGTAGAAGAAAGGAGTCGGGGTCCAAAAACTTCTTGTGTCCCCAAGTATCATAGTGAAAGCTCAGCAAATTTTTTTTCTCCACGACAAATTTAGCTGGCCAAAAGGGAGTTCGCACCGGTATGAAAACATACTTAAAAAAAAAATTATTCGAAAGTATATTATAATTAGGTGTGATAATACAAAATATGATATATGATAATATGACATAAAAATTATATAAAAAGATATGAATGTGAAATAATTTACAATTTTAGTAAAAATTAAAAAATATTTTATATTTTTGTATCAATACGAATTATAATTTATAATTTTTGTGTAAATATAACAAAAATATATGAATTATCAATATTTTATATGATGCAAATATATATAAATTTTTAAATTTAACTAGAAACCTGTGTTCCCCCAATTGCTTAGTCCATTGATCAAGTTAAAATGCTACAGAAAAATTCAACAAAAGGCTACAAAAACATCTCTAAGTTTATATCAGTGATATAAAGCGTTTGTGGGTGTCCACATGAAAGCCGTGACCTAAAAGGCAAGGAAATGAAATTGTTAGTATAAGTTTTCACATTTGTGGATCCGAAATTTGAAGGAAATTTCACATCACACCTATAAATTCTAAGCTTGCTTTGTACATTTGCACAATTCATACAAAAACCAAACAATTCTAACCTCAATTAATTTCCCTACTCTCGTCGTCTCTACATTTTGTGTTAAGCGTCAATGGCAGTGTTTGGGATCTCTGCAGCTCAGATTGCGATGGCAACGTTTGTTGTGGCTAGAGAAGGCAAAAAAACCTGAAATCGATGAGTTTTGATCCGAGCTGATTTTTTAGAGTCAATTTTTTTTTTAAATGAGTATCGGGTTGGGTGGCATAAAAAAAAATCGAGGTCGGGTCGAAGTTGAGTTTTAAGTAAATCTGATATGATATATATAAAAATAATTTTTAAATATTTATTTAATTTTATAATTATTTATATATATATTTATTTTTATATTTATATTGAAAATAATATTTTATTAATTTCAGATAAGATATGATTTTATACAATATCGGATCAGATTGGATTTGTGTATAAAAATAATAAAAAAATTATCGGATCGAATCAAATTCATATTTTGTATGTTTAAAATCGGGTCGATTTCGGGGTGAGCAAAAACTCACCCGACCCAACCCGTTTGACATCTCTAATTGTGGCACTGTTTTACGTGTCCGGAAACATAGCACAAGATATCGCTCCTTCTCCAGTAATGGACGCCGGAGAAGGGTTTACTTTGCTGGTTTCCGCAGTGTCGGTGTGTTCTTCCATATTGGTATCTTTGGTTGATCTGTTGTTGCAGCGAATTCAAAGTTTCAAGACTATGACATGCCACCTGAAAACTCCCTGGTGATGATTTCATGAGGGGAGACCTTTATTCTGCTAAGAGATAATATTGGGTGCTATCATTTTTTTTAAAGATTTTGTTTCCAAATTTTTAGATATCTTTGTTATGTTACAATATTAGTGATATACGTTCGCAATGGCAGACCATAGGCAGAGCCTTGAAGCCTCAAATAAATTAAATATATATTTGTTATACATTATATTTAACCAAATACTTATTTTCTCATATTTTATGATTGATTTTAATTTTTTTCTTTATAAAATCTTGAATAAATTATATTAATTGTTCGGATTTTTTTAAAATATTTGTATTAATATATAGTATGGAGGTTGAACATTTCAAATATATGAAAATTTTTTTAAAAAATGATCATATTTGTGTTGAAAATAATTTCATATATGGCATTTAATTTCAAATTCAATAACGTAATAAATAAATATATATTAATTTTAATTAATTTTTTTAAAATTAAATGTCAAAATTTATCACTATATATTTAATTTTGTAATATAATCGCTAGGATTAGCTATCATGCATAAATAAAAGGGGAATGGTCCTATTTCTTTTGAATCACATTAGGTTTATTTTATAAATTATTTTATTTTGCTCATTATAAAATTTGAAATTGAAATTTTAAGTTTTTGAACCAATAGAGTACATTGACATGTTTATGCCATAGTACCATGTCCAAAATGATTATAATAGTTGTATCAACAAAAATGATCATCTAGTATATGTTATAACACAACATGAATTGATTATCACCTTGCCAAACTTCATCAACCCCGCAGGGTTTCAAAGTTCCAATGTCGTTCACCGACGTAGATTCATCTGTCCAACTTTCAGACAAGCGTGTCAGCCTCCAATTGCCTTCCGACCACAACAGCAAAATCTTTTCAATTTCAGCTGTGTACGACACAAATCTCCTCTTTCCACTAACTCAATTTATTTATTAGCTGTTATGTGAACGTTGCCCAGCTGTCACCCATCCCCTCTGTAGGCCCCACACGCCGTTCACTCCCCCTATAAATACCATACTTTCCCTTCCCCAACCCCAATTCCAAGCAAACAAAATTCTCTTTCAGAACAAAAAAGGGAAATAAAAATTTCTCAGCTTCTCTCTTTTTGAAATGGCTCAAGTTAGCGTGTTGAAGGCTTTTTTGGTGGCTTTGGTCATGGCATTCTTAACCGCCGCCTCGGCGCAGGTTAGCGAGGGGCCGTCACCTGCCCCAGACGCTGGAGCTGCTTTCTCTGTGGGCGTTTCTAGCGCAGCTGTTGGCTTCTCTTTGATCGCTTCTCTTCTTGCTTTCTTGAAGCCTTAAATTAAAGGGCTTGTTTGGCTCCTCTATTGGTTTTGTTTTTTTTTTCTTTTCTGTTTTTTTTTTCATTCTTTCATTCTTTGTTACTTCATTAGACCATTGTAATGAAGTTGATTCTTCGAATAAAGTGCTTCTAGTGTGATTTTTTTTTCTTGGGGTGTAATTATATTCCTTTTGTGTACTGAATTAGAGGCATCCATGGTTTACATCTCTAAAATCTTGACCAGTCAGTTCAAATTCTATTTATTATTAAAATATTAAAAATATTTATATTAATATTTAAAGTTAAAATGCTACAGAAAAATTCAACAAAAGGCTACATAAATATCTCCAAGTTTATATCAGTCAAACAAAGCGTTTTCTGGGTTTCCACATGCAAGCCGTGACCTAAAAGGCATGGAAATGAAATCGTTATTATAAGTTCTCACATTTGTGGATCCGAAATTTGAAGGAAATTTCACATCATACCTATAAATTCTAGGCTTAGTACATTTGCACAATTCATACAGAAACCAAACAATTCTAACCTCAATTAATTTCCCCTCTCTCGTCGTCTCTACATTTTGTGTTAAGCGTCAATGGCAGGGTTTGGGATCTCTGCAACTCAGATTGTGATGGCAATGTTTGTTGTGGCACTGTTTTACGTATCCGGAAACATGGCACAAGATATCACTCCTTCTCCAGCAATGGACACCTGATCGGGGTTTACTTTGCCGGTTTCCGTTGTGGTGGCGTGTTCCTCCATATTGGTATCTTTGATTGCTTTGTTGTTGCATTGAATTCAAAGTTTCAAGAGTTATGGGATGCCACCTTTTCACTCATTGGTGAAGGTTTCATGAGGGGAGACCTCTATTCTGCCATGAGATAATTAATATTATTGGGTGCTATCATTTTTTTTTTTTAATTTGTTTCCAAATTTTTAGATATCTTTGTTGTGTTACAAATTAGTGATATATATTTGTAATGGCCACAAGCGGAGCCTTGAATCCTCAAATAAATTATATATATATATATATTCAATATAATTATATTTAACCAATACTTATTTTTTACACTTTATGATTGTTTTAAATTTGTTTTCATAAAATCCCAAATAAATTATGTTA